ATTCTTTACAATCAGGGGCATCAGTTTCAGAATACTTTACAAATCATTTGGCCTAAAAATAGCAAAATTTGAAGAAACATTTCCCACAATGAAACGCATCCATTTTCCCTCTTCATTCCATCCCATTCCATTCAAGCCCCAAACACAAGCAGAATTTGAGACCGAATGATCAGCTTCGGCTCTTTACAAAATTATGAAGCCACGACCACGAGGCATGACATTATGCTCAGCCAAACCAAAACATTACCTCATTTCTACCTTGAGGACTAAAGCCATCACCAATTCCACAGTCACTGGGGTTTTCTTCTCCTGCAAAGACAGGCAACATTACGGTTCTGCTCCAAACAAGGTCTGCATAATCTGAAAGGAAATCAAATCCATAAAGAACAAAATGGTTATTGCATTTCATTCTTTTTGGAATCTATCAAAAATTTGACATTCTTGTTTTTTACTACAATCGAGGCATTGCTTCAAAATAAATTAGTACAGAATAATTACGTGCAAAACTAGGAATGTTGTCGAACCAATTCTAAGAAGGAAGAGAGGGTATGGTAAAACAAGCGTACAATGGTTTTCATTCCTAGGTTGCTTCTTTGAAAACAAAGATGACTTACTATGAAGAAAGCTAGAGAAGGGTTGGCGAGTCAGGTTCAGTTCTTAACTCTTTTATGGTCTTTCCCTGGTTATCTGTTCTTGCTGCCGAAGTTGAGGCCAAGCTTCTTATAATGCTTCATTTTGGCTCCTTTTCAGAGTTCTCTTGTTCAACTACAGGTGTCTTTGGTTTCAGCTTCATAGATTTCAGGTCTTCCTAAAGAGAGAATAATAATGTTTCCACTGCTTTGTACACCCAAGGCTACTTCAGAATTCACATCACATCGATACTTTTATATTTGTCTAAATTGCCTAAGAAGCAGCAGCAAAACAGGCACATTTAGTTGCATGTTGAGAATATAATCTACATTAAGAAAGCATTTGTGCATAATTAATTTGATAAAGATACTTACAATGGCAAACGAATAGCAGTTCAGAAAGCTCAGCAGCCAGCAGGTGGGATGCCAGTCTAAGGCATTCAAGAATCCCTTCCCTTCAGAACCTATTAAACCCAGCTGCTGTTCTAGTCAGACAGTGATCTTCCTTCAACGCAAAACCAAATTACTAAATATAGATAATGATGGAACCATAAGACTTACAATGTCAGATCCTCCAGAAAGATGAGTATCTGCTTAACAACAGCTGTTATTGGCTTTGCAGGCTCACATGGTTAATGCCACAAAGTACCTGATATTAATAGCTATTTATCTGTATCAATTGATTATAAGTCCAAACAAGTGGCAATATCAGCAACCATAGAATGTCTAACAAGTATATCAAAATGCAAGTACAAATGCTATTAACTTCTAGACAGTAAATTGTAAAGGAAAAAATCATGTTCAATGCAGAGTTTATTTTTACAAAAGCATGAAGCTAGCATTTGAGAGCAAGTTGTGGAAAAATCAACAGTTCAAAATGAATATAACATGCAATTAATTGATAAATTCAGCCTTCTATTGACAGTATTAAGTGATGGGATCAAGAAGAAGTATTTTTGGAAATTTATAAAGAAATACTATGGCTGAAAAAGAAGAGTTGAAGTTTTAGAAATGAAATATACCATTTTGGATGGGCTAGAACGCTTTTCAGATAACATACAGAACATCCTCTCAGTGGATCAAAATTGAGCACCTCCAACAACACTGTTCAAATTTTTAAGCATGTAGGTAAGTTTTACCATAAGACCTTGTTCAAGTCAAATAAAATGCAATGCCATATTACTCAAGGCTCATTTAAGCTCTAGAAAGCATACCAGAATCATCAAATTTTTCTTGGTGGAGCTGCTTCTCCATTCCTCTGCTATTGATATTTGATAGCTTATTGGGTGAGGATCTGTTAGGGTGTTTTAACTTTTAAGGCCAACAGCCTAGACATACACAGAACAGACACAGACACGTTCATAGACAATTACCATGCCAAATGCAACTATGGAAGACACTATTGACAACAGAATTGAATATTGGAAATATAATATAAGTTAAGAAAGTATTTGTGTGTGGTAATTTGATAAAGATACTTACAATAGATACAAAAAAACATTCTGAAAGTCAGCAGCCATCAGGTGAGAGATGGTCTAAGAGATTCAGAATGCCTACAGTACCGAACCTATTAAACAAAGCTGTTCTAGTCATAATCATGCTCCTTCAACAAAAAACAAAAGTACTAAATACCAATAATGATGCAACCATAGTATTTACATTGCCAAATCCTCAAGAAAGATAGTGTCTTACATAGTTGATGCCACAAATTACCAGATACTAATGATCATTTATAAAGAAATTCCGTGGAGAAAAAATGGAGTTGAGGTTTGAAATGAAATATACCCTTCGGGAATGGCACATAATTTTTTAGGTTAGATGCAGGACATACTCCAAGTTGAGTAAAATTGAGCACCTCCAAAAACACAATATTCAAATTTTCAGGCATAAGACTGGCTCATTTCAAACCAAATGCAATTCCATTTTCCATATATAACAAACAAGACTCAGATATGATCCAGAAAGCATACCAGAATCATCATCTTTTGCTACTGCTTGCGTAGTGGATGAGGATTTGTTAGGTATCTTTAACTTTATGGCCAATGACATAAAAACATACACTGATATATATATATATATATATATATATACATATACATATATATGTATGTATATCTACAGACTCATGCAACAGATAGTTGAATCATCATTTACAGAACCCAGTAAGTGTTTCACATTCTCTCATAGAAATTAAAACAAACCATGGTACAAACACAATATCCTAACCATAACATAAGTCCACACTTAACAATGCAACAAATGAAGAGGAGGAGAAGAAGATTGAAGACATAAGCTATTTTCTTAATAAAAGTCTCTAGAGGGACAGTGTTAGATCATCTCATCAGGCTCTTCAGAACTTGAAGAATTCCATGCCTGCAATGATAAAAATGCATTCCAGTATTATGTAAGTATCAAGTCTTTGGTTCACAAGAACAACTTTTTTTTTTTGCAACGGGAAATGATCTAATTGAAGTCAGAAGCTAATCTCCCCTAGATCAAAATCCTCATTTCGGGGAAAAATAGCAGTTCACCTTTTACAATGTTCGTAGTTTATTGAGTCTATCTACTCTAGTAATAGGAAATTTAAATGTTTTCAACTTCTGAAATTTAGAATTGATTCATAACTTAACAAAATAATGAAGACTTGATTCATCAAATGAAGAGTGAATTGTTTTCAAGAAATTTATAAAGAAATGATGTAGTAGAAGTGAAATAATGAAGATACCTGATGATATTATGAGGGAAGAAAAGAGTATTAGTAATTCGTGAAGAATTGCAGTTGGGATTTGAGAATGAGACTTACCTCTTCTTGCCACTTTGAAACCTCAATCTTGGGAATGGATGATCTCTCACGTAAATAAGATGTTTGGAATGTGAGAAATTTTGGGCCACTCAGCTCTAGTTTCCTCAACACAACTTTTCCTCAACATAGGGCAATCCCAAACTGTGAGCTCTTTCAATTTGGTGAGGCGACGAATGGCTTCCGCAGAAGGCAAACATCTCAGATTCATGCAATCATCAATCACGAGACTTGCGAGTGAGGATAAGTTTCCCAGCCACTCCGGTAAAGCATCCAATTTGCTGAAGTTTCGAATTTCCAATTCCCTTAGAGCAATCAGATGTTGAATTTGATGCGGAAGTTGAGTTAGTTT